TACTATTTGAAAAGAGTTCACATTTGTAGCTCCTATTATTTGTCTCCAAAAATTAGTGTTCAAATAGTTTGAAGTGCCTTTATTTATATATATTCCTAACATTTTCCTATTACACAGACACTGACAGGAATGAATGAAATGATAATACAGAATGTTTTAACTATGCCAGGGTCTAAATTTTTTTTTCTAGTCACCTAAACTTTTCTTGAAACACTACCAAAAAAGAAATTCCCTGTTCTGCTATTTGTGCAAACATTGTTTCTTTATCTATTCAACAGAATAAGGATAGCAACAGAAACTTGTGTTTTCTAAAACATCTGAGTTGTATTTTGTTGTGGTTAAATATTGAAACAACTGTTTCAAAAGCAAAGCAAATTAATGTAGCAACAAATGTAGTTAGCAGCCATTAAGTATACATCAACTGTAAAGAGACAAATTATGTTCATAACTTTATCATGTAATGCAATATAATCTCATCATTGTGACACTAAATTATATTGCATTTTATTAATGACCTGATTAAATACCATACTTCCCTGATTGTTCAGTTGAGATTTTTTTTAAACAGTGTTATGTTTGTATAGGATCCTTTGAGGCCTGTGTATAGATGATACTTTTATTTAAAATCCTTAAACTTCAAAAAGAATAAAAGATTTTTTAAAAAGATATTTCTGCATAGATACGATTTCTTGTCATTTGAAGACAAACCAACTCTTATACTATTAAGAGAAAAGGGAAGATCGGAATATATTTTTGGATAGATAAATTTCCTGTAATCTTTTTATTTAACAAAATTTTTGAATAAAATAATCTAGATGCCACAGTGTTCAAATCTGCCTTTTATTTTACAACTCTAGATATATTTTCATTGAAATGCACCTGTAAAATATGACATGCTCAAAAAGAAAATTGGATATACCAACGTAAGGTAGTGTTTGGTATTAATATGGTCATAGCATCTTTGGTGAGCTTAACAATTGACACGTTGTTGGTATAAGAACTATAGGAAGCAACACAATCCTCCCAGACAAGCAGCTTATACAATTCTAGAGAATGCTCACTTAAATTCATTCTACCTTTAACTCAAAATAATGGGTAATGTATCCTCCATTTAAAATCCCAGGCAAAGTAGCTATCCAGCCACCTGTAACCAAAAATGAGATATTTTTCCTCTGAGGTGGCCCTTCTGTAAATTTAGAGTGCTGTTACTGCCATCCTTGTGTTTGTTCTTATGTGGTTTTCTGGGGAAGCCTGTCTGGTGGTGGCTTTTTATTTTGTACCGCTTCCTTCTTCAGTGCCCACTCGGTGAGGGCATCCAGGGATGTCCCGAACCGGGTGTACTTGGTTTGTGTGTGGTGTCTGTCCCCGGAATCTCCAGTGCATTTCACTCTCCTTGCAGGTAAACAGGTGATCCACCCTAACCAGATCGCTGTGGTACAAGAGCAGTTTACTCCAACCCTGGAAAAAATTCAGTGGGCCGAAGAACTGATCGCTGCCTTCGCAGAGCACCAGAGACTGGGGAAGGTAAATGCCTTTTAAATGCCTCAGTGATGCTGGGAGTTTAGAATACTACGAGCAAAATCATACCCTTTGCATTGCTTAAGGAAAACTCCCTGATTCTGGCAGCAGAAAGGGGGAAATATGGGCTGAAATATAAGATTTATCACTCAGACTATCCCTGAAGGTAGATACCCATCCCTTTCCCTCGATACATCTCCCTAATCTGGTCCCCTCTCTCATCGCGTCTTCTCTGTGAGCTGTGTTGACAGCCTTAGAGAAATCAAGTCTTGTTCGCTCCTCCCGTGTAGTCTTCGAAGCAGCAGCGCTTGTGTGAAAATAATTTCACATCAAAGTGAGAGTACGTCGTAACGAAATAAATGCAGTTTGACCACATGGTTCTTGTAGAGAAAAGAAATAAATTTCAAGTTATTTTAATTGGGGGGGGGTGTGGTGTTAGGGAAAAAAAAAGTACTAATGTCTCCTCTGGTTTAATCATTTAGGAGTGGGAGGTTGTAGATGGTTTTGTACCGATTTCTGGACCTGAGATTTGGAAAGAAGGGAAGGCAAATTAACACCGAGTACGGTTGTTCTAATTTAGTGCTTCATTGAGCCTGGCGTTTCCCGCTCTGTGGGTTTCTGCTATGTAAATATTGCGGTGGTAATGCACAATCTGTCTCCACTTTGTGCCAGTAACACTTAAATTAGGTGTCGCCTGAAGGAAGATTTTATGCTAGTTGCAGCATTGTCAGTTAATTATCTTAAAGGTTATTTGCAATAATACCGTTTGCCTCTTTTTTCAGAGGGATGGGGGGGAGTTGCATTTATAAAAATCTATCCTAGAGATAATCTGTCACCTCGGCCCATGCCTTCTGTAAGGAATGGAGTAGTCATGCCTCCCATACAGAATTACTTAGGAGAGAAAGAATGCTGAAAGATGAATAAGGTCCTAAATGTTAAATGTTCATGCTTGTGAAAATAAATAAGTAAATGAAAAGACAGTAGAGAAGAAGCAAAAGCTTTTTTTTCTTCAGTGGCAGGCCTGTGACAGTCATGGGAGAAGTGTCCTTTGCACATTCCCTGGTACCAAGGACACCTGAAAATCTCAAGGCTTGTACAAGTGGGTAACAATATTAAGTAGGTCGTTCCCTGTAGATATCTGCTCTCAACCATGAACAAGCATAGCCCCACCCTCCCCTCCAAACACACACACACACACACACACACATACACACAGACTGACATTTGTACAGATTCACGCTTAATATACAAAGCCAGAAGATCTACATAGGAACAATCCCACTTGGACATCACACCAATTTTATGATAAATGACATTTTTTTTTTGTTTTCTGTCAGTGGTGGCCATCTAAAATGTTCTGCTTTTCACAGAAAAATAATTTGAAGTTGGCATTGTATTTTATGTCTGTTTACATATTTTGACCCAAAATGAAGCTTGCCTGTAAATAAATGTATTTACATAGAAAGGAAAGATGTGCACTTTCATTGACACAAACATCTCCATCCATCTCTGCTCCCCCACACACACACATGTGTGTGTGTGTGCGCGTGTACCTTTTCCCTCAGTTCTGTCTTATGTCAGCTGACCATGTACATGTGATAACCACTTATTGAAACAGGAAACTGAGGCAGCATGTCTCAGTTTCCCTTAAGATGGCAGACAGGTCCCCGGGTGGGCTGGTTCTGCCTGGATGAACCAGGCACACTGTTTTCACCTGAATTACGGTGAAGGCTGATACTTGGCCTTGCAAGCCCATGGGAATGGTTATCCTCCATTTTACCAGCTCCCAAACTGAAAAGTCAGAGCAGAAACACCCCTTTCCTGACATTTAAGTTCCTGAATGAAGACTACAAGCCCCCCTTTTCCATTATATCTTGAAAATATTATTCCTTAGGGAAAATTGCCCAAGACTTTGATAATGGCGATGTAAATGTTAACGTTCTGGGCTTTTTTTTTTCCTTTTCATTCTCTAAATAAGAAGTGGCCCTCTTGTTGGGGTGTAATTGGGGCATAAGCTTTCACAACAGTGTGGCAGGCTCCAGCTTTTCTTAACACGGAACCATAGAAATTGGAGCAGAGGGCATTACCTATTAGGTCATTTCTTCCCTGTCCACTTTGTGGAGGTTTGTTTCCTACAGCAAATGGTCCCGGTGCTTTTTGTCCAGCAAGGTTTAAATGACTAAAGTAATGGAGCCTCCAGTAGGGACATATGGTTATTTTATCCAGTTAGCATGATTCTTTCACTGTGCCTATAAACTGGCTGGCCTCAAATACTGAGACTGCAGGTAGGTGCCTCTGGATCTTGATGGGGTCTTGCGGTTTAAAATAGTGTGGGCTCTATTTTGGCAGAGATCTTATATAAATGAGAGCTCAGTTGTAGGAAGTATCACCTCCAACAAACATCTAATCTGTTTTAGTTCAAGTGTGTGCCAGTTATTAAAAATACGAACCCCCCCCCCCGCATATTTTGTCCAAAGCACAGATGACTCCCCAGCACGGGAAATGGATGGCTTGCATCCTGGTGAGGTGCTCATGAATTTCCCTGAGGCCTTGTCCCTTTCGTCTGATGAAAATTTCATTTAATTAATTCCTTTAAGTAGAAACGGTTCAAGAAGGCAATGTGATGTAGCCTTGCCTTTTCTCCTACTCCCGTCTTCAATTACATCCTTTCTGCTTGGAAACCGAAGCGTGGCTGAAGCTGGCAGTTAATGCTGGGCTATTTATGTTTCCTAAGGTGATAAACGATAGTAGTGAAAGTCCTACTTTTTCTTCCTGTCTCTAACTGACAACAATCATGGGAAGTCTATGTCCTGGCCAGGTGAGTTTGTTGGGGCTCAGGCTTTGATCACTCAGGGTTCTCTTCTGTTAGAAGTTCCAAGGAAATGGAGTCTAATGCATCCGGCATGAGAACGTGGGGAAAACAATTTACCTTAGAAAAATAATGATGCTTAGCCCTGGATCTAGTCTGTTAGTGTTAGACAGATATGTGGAAGGAACCAGTTTCACCCCACAGAGCCCTCCTGATAATACAAACAAAAGCAAGGGAACCATATATATATAATCAATAATTTTTTCATAGTGGTAATTTTTAGGATACATGGAAATTCTCCCGCTCAGAGCTGGGTTTAGTGTTAGTTTAATGAAGAAACACAGCTTTCTTGATTTTTAATCCACTAAGAATTTTATATAATGGGAAAACTGGGTAATTACAAATGGAAGCTTTTCAAGTCATTAGTTACTGTTGGGATTAACTGTGAATGACACAGCATTAAGTGCTTGTAGCATATGTATTAATGCAAGGCATAAAAGCACGTTTGACCCTGTGTATCTTTTACACCTATGTTACGACGCTGCTGCTAGGTCTTTCTTCTCCTTCCTTGCTTATCAGGCCAAAAAAAAAAAAAAAATGACAGCTCGAGGAAACAGCTCATTGCTTTTTAAAAAAGATAACTGACCAAAGGAAAAAAAAAAATTCAACTTGTAAAGCTGTGGACTGCTTCAGGAATTTGCATGTCAACGTTGTGCAAGGGCAACGTTCATCTCCTCTGTGTCTTTCACAGTTTTAGTGTATGTACTGCCAGAGCACATATACTGAACCAAATGAAATCTTAACATAAGAGGGTGGAGAAGTGTGGAGGACTAGCAAATAAATGCATGGTGTTTGCCATGAGTTTTTTGGGGGGGGTCCTTGGGTAGAATAGACCTATTTTTGCAGTATCCTGCTTGCTGCAAACCTGAGTTTTATTCAGTTTTGCAGGCAACCCCCCCCCCCCCCACTTAATCCCATCATTGCCCTGAGTACAGCATGTTGGTTAGACATTTTTAGCAGTTTTCATTCTCACAGTGTCACGAGCTGACTAAGCACCAAGGGAAGGGGGACTTTCGTTCAAGATCTAGGTCCCATTATCAATTATAAAGGTCAAAGGCAAGGTCAGTAGGGACATAAGGATTGTAAATATCACATGTGACTGGAGCATTCCTGGTTCACTCATGAAGGAGCAATAGTGCAGACTAATGAGCTGACATTCACAAACACTTCCTATTGGGGGATATCAATTACAAGAAATCTCTTATTAAAGCAGAAAGGAGAAGTCGGTTCCTTTTCATCCCCAAAGCCGCCAGCTACACTAAATCGTCCCCTTCCAACAACGGAAAGCAAGGGATTTTGTAGGTATCGAAGCTCCACACCTTCAGGTTTCCAAATGTGAACCTTTACAAAAGAAACACTGTTCCATCCCAGATGGCTCTCCCAAAAAAGGCTCCCTGAGAGAACTCGGGAGAAATCTCTCCAGCTGAAAATACTGCTCCTTCTTGTTCAAGTGCCAGAAAGCCCACTGTCTCTCTTTCACACAGATCAAATAGACCGTCTGAAGATTTGCTTGTTGTCTTTGTCAGCCGAAAGAATTGAGCCACTAATAGATAACAGTGTGTCCCCATCCCCGCCCAGCCACCCATCCCACCACCCACAGCCTTTCCCCGTCTATTTCCGAACAACAGTGAATCTGGGTGAAAATGAAAGATGGGACAGAAACAGAATTCTGCGATGCCTGGTAACCATTTTTCCCCCCTTTGTGTACCAAGTTCCTGTAGAGTTTTCAGAGCTATCTGCTTCAGTATTGACTCCAAAAAGCCCAGCTCTTAGGAAATCTGAGTGTGCCAATGGCAACTTTATGACAAATTTGATACACACTAAGTTGCAATTAAAAAAAAAAAGGAAGACGCATTTAAAGCTTGGTAGTGGAACTCCCCCCATGCTGCTCTCAAACCAGCCTTGTTTTTAGAGGCAAATGGCCAGTCCAGCACTAAGGGACACGATTTTGATTTATTTGTTTTGGTTTTCATTTTCGGTTTTTTCATAGGTTGTCTGGTAACTTTTTAAATTACTGGCTCCATCTTTCGTATGATTCATTAGAGCCAATTCTTAAAGATAGTATAACCAGAACAGCTTTACTCTGTAGTTATATTTCCCCATCTGAAAGCTTTTTACAATAATCATATAGTCAGACCTGACACCCCCCCCCCCAAAAAGTTTGGAAATCATTCACGTTCAAGGTGGTTATAAAACTGTGACCACCGTTCTTAAATAGGATAGTACAAATATGGTTTCTGCTAGGCAACAGTGAGTACTCACAGAAATGGCAGATCTGGTGAGCGTGTGAAGGGTGTATGAGCGTGTGGGGGGTGTATACCCGCGTGTGTCGGGGGGGTGTATTGTACTGGTGCGCACGTTAGTGTGTAGAGGTCAGAGGTCAGCATCATCAGGCAGCTTTCATTCTCAACCTTGTTTTCTGAGAGGCATTTTTCTCACTGAGCCTGTAACTTGCCATTTTGCTAGACTAGCCGGCGGCAGACACCCTCCCCCGCCCCCCACCCCCACCCCAAGGTCCTCCCAGCCCCATCTCCCCAGCACCGGGGAATACAGCCATGTACCACAGCCCACAGCACCCACCTTTTACACGGGTGCTAGGGATCTGGATTCAGTTCAGTAAAGACCTCACCCACTGAACCATCTCCTTTCAGATAGAGTCTTAAAAGGATTCCCATTTTAATCGAAACGTGGATAGGGCTAGTTCAGACTTACAGACTTAACAGATAGGTGTCTTCTGATCTTTTTTTTTTTTAACTTTTATTTATATTTTATGTAGGCTGTCTTCTTGCACGCCAGAAGAAAGCATCAGGTCCTATTATAGATGGTGGCTGTGGGGCCACCACATGGATGTGGGGTGCTGGGAATTGAATGCAGGTCCTGGGGAAGGGTAGCTAGTGCTCTTAACTGCTGAGCTTAACTCTCCAGCTTATGTCTTCTGTTCTTGAGCAAGAACCAAACAAGGAAGAGAGAAACGGACTCCAGGTTGGCCCTACCCTCCCTGCTAGGGATCCCACATGGCTCCGCCCCTTTCTTCCAATCCTGTCTTGACCTTGTCCATCCACCCTGCCCCCAAGGGCTTTTGATTGGTTCAGTTCCCTCTAAACCCAAACCCTACTGCACAGGCTCAAGGTAGACCGGAAAGGGTTAGAGTAAGGCTGGGAAAGCCTCCTGCCACCCTAAGCTGAGTTCCGTCACTCCCAGCAAGGATACACGGGGCCAGGAAGGATTGTTCTGCTCCTCGCTCATTTGCCCCCTTTAGGCTCTAGGTCTGCAGTGTCGGTGTGGTATTCGCCCTTCCCTGGTCTCCCTTGGTTTTTCCTCGTATTTCATGTCTCACATGTGTGGCTTCTCCTCTGATTTCTAACTCTTTCAATGAAGTCACGAGTTGGTCTTGACGAGGATGACATGTAGATTTTTGCTTTGTTTTGTCTTCTGTGTAGAGTGAGAACTAAGTAACTTTGAGTTTCTTCTTTACAAAATGAATGCGAGCACTGTCCGTCCATTCGTCCTCTGTCTGTTCCCCCTCTGCATTCTTGGAATTGGCCCCGTTTTGACCATTTGTCATCGTCCGATTCTGGCCATTTGGTGAGCATTTTCTCCACCTTTCTAAATTCTGTTTGTCTTCCAGCTGATGCTCTGTCAAATATCTAGCACTCCTGCATGTAGGTTTTTTTTTTTCCTAAAGATCTATTTGTTTATTTATTTTATGTGTGTGGATAATTCATCTGCTTCTATGTCTGCACACCAGAAGAGACAATTGTGAGCTGCCATGTGGGTGCTGGGCGGGAATTGAACCCAGGTCCTCTGGAAGAGCAGCCAGCGCTCTTAACCTCTGAGCTGTCTCTCCAAGCCCTGAATCTAGTTTCTTAAAGAGTTAAAGAGACAAAAAAAAAAAAAAGAGTTAAAGAGACAGCTATGTTTAAAAACTGTGTGTGTGGGGGGATTTACAGGGGACAGGGAGTCCAACAGGCATCTGCCTGCCTCTTACTCTTATTACCAACACTGATGTCTCTCAACCCATTAATGCCATTCTGAAACCCAACCCAGGTCAGGTGCTCTCCACTCCTTATGGGAGCTTTTGATGACAAACATAGTTAACTATCTTTGATCAGGCCAGGGAGACAGACAGCTCGATGGGTAAAGGTTTTTGCCTCCAGTAGTCAGGCTGCATCCAACCCTTGGGGGACACACACAGTGGAAGGAGAGAACCGACCCCTGAGAACTGTGCTCTGACCTCCCTGTGTACATGGTGGCACTCCCGTGCCCCATCCGAACAAGTCTTAAGAATGTTTTTGTAAAAGTCTCTTTGACTAGCACTATCAGTAATAACACAAGTAGCTGTGTGATAGCCATGATCATGGTAACTGTGACTCTGGTGGTTCAATAGCAATCAGAGTAGAGGTGGCAGTGGTTGACCTGCAACCATGGAGGTGGTGATTCCGGAGCAGTGGTGACACCCAACTAACAGTTCTTACTGACAGAGAACCCGTAAGGTCATCGTGTGCTGTCTTTAATCTTCACAACATTATGGGCAAGGTTGAGATGAAAAGGGGAGTCTGGCGTGGTACCTGTACTTGTGGGGGGGGATCATGCTTCAAGATGCGGATTCAAGTACAGATATGGCCCAAACCTCTACAACAGGTGGCCTTAGAGGGGGAACCCCAGGAAATCAGGAACTTTTTACCTGTGACAACAGCAGACTAAGCATTACTAGTGGAATTACTAGAGAGAGCATGACATGGGTCATTCTCTCTCTCTGTTTGGGTGATTGCCCTAGAGGGACTCTGGTGCATGTGCCCAGGACCCTTCTCAGGCCAGGCCTTACTAGAGGGGCATAGAGACCACACACAAGCCCGAGTTCCGTTGCACATGAATGGCTCTGTACTATGAGTTTTAAAAGCCCTGGACTGTAGAGAAAGCATAGGGGAGGAATGGAATGGCTAGGAGAGCCTTCTCCAGGCTTTAACTTGGAGAACTGTGGGAGATGGACGTTACAGCCCCTCTGAGCTTGGGTAGGTCCTCAGGAGCTGATGGATCTTCCTCGGGGACTCAGTAGATTACCACCCACTCCCCACCTGCCTCCCTACTCCTTTCAGATCCGTTACACTCATTTACAAGGCTTGCCTTTCAAAGGCTGGGTGGAATGCCTCCTGTCTGAATTCCAACCATGGTGTGAAGGACAGGTCAGTGCTAACTGCTATGCTGGATCTCTTCAGCTGGGCTTCCCCCGAATTTCACCTTGAGAGACATTAACTCTCTCTCTCTCTCTCTCTCTCTCTCTCTCTCTCTCTCTCTCTCTCTCTCTCTCTCTCTCTCTCTCTCTCAACTATTAAAGTATCCGGCAAATTATTGCAATGTGAAGTGTTAAAAAAAAAAAGCTGGGGGCTGGGGAGATGGCTCAGCAGTTAAGAGCCCTGGCTGCCCTGCCAGAGGACCTGAGTTCAGTTCCCAGCACCTGCTACGATGGCCCACGACTGGTCGGAAATACAGCTGCAAGCAATTTGACACCCTTACACGGATGTACTTGCAGGCAAAACGCCAATGCCCATAAAATAAAAACAGAAAGGGCCGTGTTCTCTTATTTCCCAAGCCTCCAGTGAATACCCTTTTAATATTTTCATGACAGGTACTTATTTACTTCCCTGTGTGGCCATGGCTGTCCCGAAACTCCTTTATAGACCACGCTGGTGGTCGATGCGGAGATCTACCTGCATCTG